CTGCTGCGTGTCTTTGTGTTGCTTTTGACTTTGTGGCTGAAACCAAAGCGGAGTTAGATAGGGCTTGGATGGCGGAGGCGACGGAATCGCGGTACCTGACCTTTTTCGTGGGGTCACTAACGCGTGGCCCCTGCGGATGATCCCCCGGTGTCCGGCTTCCCTGGCGATGCTGTCTTTGTCCTGAGGCACAAAACACGCAACGCCGCCCGCACGGGGTCTCGCCTTACAACTCAAAAACGGTATTACGGTACAAAAACAGGAATTACAATACAAACGACGCGCAAAAATTGTGGAGTCTCGCGGGTTGCTCTCTCCACGCGAGGAGCAACACCAGGGCTCCTTGCTCCCTCGGCCGGGCTATCGCCCTTGTGACGGCGCTCGAAAAGCGTCACGTCACATCGTATAATTACTTTACCCCAAGCACTATTACAGTCGAATAAAATACAGGGTAACAAAAAGGTCGGAACACTAGAATATTTTGAAAAATATGAGTTTGATCAAAAAATGTCGCAAACAAAAGTTGTATGGTTTTGAGGGAACCATAAGATGGTGTCATCAGTTTAACGTTAAATAATCGTTTGAAAGTCACGTGAAGGTCACCTTCAATTTCTTAAATAAAATATTCTATTTTTTATTGCATATTCTTGTAGCTTACCTCGAGAGCTTTTCAAAGCAGTATAATTAAGTTCCATTTGGTCAAAAACTATTTGAGATATGCGCCTCTAAAGTTTAAGTACTGTCAGGCGTTAGCGTTATTATAGCTGCATCACGTGTGAAGATTGCAGGGTCGAATTCTTCGGAGTATTTTATTATAGTGAGTCCCCTTGCCTCTCACATGTTTGTGTACGTGCGTGCGTGCGTGCGTACGTGCATGTGTATTTATGTGTTCCGAGGTATTTTCAGATTCCAAACAGCAGTCGGTGATACGACCAGCCAAGGTAAGATCGGTCGGTGATCTGCCCAGCCAAGGCAACGTTTTATAGTAAATTTTATAATTCTTGACGAAGTATCACTAGATTTCTTAGTTGCATACACTCTGTTTTTGAGGTAACCACATAAAAAGTAGTCAAGCGGTGATAAATCAGGAGGAGTGTTCTTCACATTAAATCCCCCCCCCCTCATCGCTATTTTTTGTCCCTATGACAAGTTTTCTAACTTGTGAAGTCGTCAACTTTTAACGGTAAATATCTCGCTTCGCGGAACAAAGCGACACTATTTCAAATAGAAAAGTTTTATTTCATACAAAAACGCATCGAATAAGCTTAATTGGATCAAAATCGGAGGTGAGGCAGCGATACTGTGTAATTACCTTTTTTTTTAATCCCATCTTTATCTATATTAAACATCATAAAAGGTCATGGGTGGACCCCGGCCAACCATCGACATCCACACCAAAGCGAAATATCCATGGCCACAAAGCAATGCTCTGCATTTGGTGGGATATGCAAGGCGTCGTTTACTACGAGCTACTCAGACTGAACGAAAATATCACGGGGAATTAATATCAATTACAAATGAACCGTCTGAATCAAGCATTGTTGGAAAAAAGGCCAGCAGTAGCCAGCAATCGACGCAAAGTTATGTTTTTGCACGACAACGCTCGACCACACGTTGCAAAAGCCGTCAAGAAAACACTGATGCAGCTCGAGTGGGAAGTTCTTCCGCATCCAGCGTATTCACCAGACTTAGCTCCTTCAGATTATTACTTGTTCCGATTGATGCAGGACGACTTGATGGATACACACTTCAGAAATTACGAGGATGTGTGCAAATGGATCGATGAATGGATTGCTTCAAAAGACCAATCGTTCTATCGTCGCGGAATCTACTTATTGCCCGAAAGATGGGAAAATGTATAGCAAACGAGGGAAAATACTTTGATTAATGTATTTTTTGCTTTTGATATCGAAATAAATGAGTTTTTTAAGTAAAAAAACCGCGGAAACTAAGTTTACTACCTAATAACCTCTAGTAACATTTTTTAACAATAATTCTATGTATTTTCTAATAATTTCAATAATAATTACTTCTAGTAACATTTTCTTGAAATATTTCGATGGACACTTTAATAACTTAAATAATAATAACTTCTAGTATCAATTTCCAGCAATATTTCAGTGTATTTTCTAGTAATTTAAATAATAATTTCATCTAGCTATGTTTTCCTCAATATTCTAGTAAACACTAATAATTTTAATAATAATAACTTCTAGTATCAATTTCAAGCAATATTTCAGTGTATTTTCTAGTAACATAATAATAATTACTTCTAGTAAAATTTTCCAGCAACATTTCAATGTGTTTCTTAGGCCCAGTTCCACAACTTGCTTTAACCAGAGTTTAAGTCGTTAAACCCTGTTTAAAGGAAATGTTGCATTCCACAACTGCCTTTAGCTTCGGTTAATGTCGATAATCTGCGGTAAAAATTAAACGCTAAATTTTGGACGTTTATCGAATTTAAACGAAGTTTATATGGTACGATTGATTTCAATATCAAAAGTTATCGACTATCCAGTTCTTTTGAGGTTATGTAGTATCGCAATATTGTAAGTGAGGAATATTCTTTTGGTGAGAAGTATGGCTATGGCTCTAGCATACGTATTATCTTCATCTGACGAAGAATGTGATGAAGATTTTGTGATTAATCGACGACCAAGAAAAATAAAAAGACGACCACCATATTTTGAAGAATTTGATGATGTGGATTTTCATGCTCGATTTCGATTAAGTAAAGAATCTGTTAATATAGTGTTAAGAGAAATCGAACAAGAAATTTCTTGTAAAACAGAACAGTAAGTAAAGTTGTGACTTAAAATATTATAAAATAATATAAAATATTGTACTTACAATTAGATAGAAATTATTGTTATAACAGGAGTAACAATAACATAAAAGTAAAAAGTTTAACGAAATCAATATTATATAATTGATTATTTACTATTAATCACAATTATTCGCAATTATATTCATTATTTTTTTTATATCTTCATTGCTATAAAACAAACAAGTAGTGAAATAATTAATACAAGTTATAGTAAAATTATTTTTTTTGGTTTACTAGAAACAACGCTATATCTCCAATGACGCAGCTGCTCCTAACATTAAGATTTTATGCAACTGGAAGTCATTTATTATTAGCAGCAGATTTTTCTGGCGTAAGTAAAACAAGTGCTCACGGAATAGTTCATCAGGTGACCAAAGCTATTGCTCGTTTTCGACCAAGATTCATAAAGTTTCCTGTGCTTGCCGAGGAAATAAAGAAAGAGCAAATCAAATTTTTTGATATTGCACGATTTCCAAGGGTAATAGGTTGTATTGATTGTACTCATATAAAAATACAGTCATTCGGTGAGTAAAATTTAATATCTTAAAGAATATATGTTTATAATAAAGTTATTAACTTATATTATTTAATTTCATTTGCATTTATTTAATTTCAGGTGGAAACGATGCTGAATATTATAGGAATAGAAAAGGATATTTTTCTATAAATGTGCAAGCAATATGCAATGCAAATTTAGAAATAACTGATATTGTAGCTCGATGGCAAGGTTCAGTACACGATGCTACAATATTTAACAATTCTAGAATACGTGCTTTATTCGAAGCTGGAATGTTTGGAAATTCCTTATTGTTAGGAGATGGTGGTTATTCTCTTCGTTCTATATTTTATGTACTCCTATTGCAAAATCCACGAACTCGAGCGGAGCAATTGTATAATGAATCACATATACGAACACGCAATACTAT